TGGTAGTCGTCGGCGCCATGGTAGTCGTAGTCTTGACCGTGGTACTGACTGTGCTAGAAGTGCTGGGACTAGGCGCCGCGGGCGTGGTCGCCGTGGACGATGGCCCTGTGCTTGAAGCACCGGGGCACGGCTCGCTGAGCCATTTACAGTTTGTGACAGCCAGGCAGAAATATGTACCTTCTGCGCAGCAGTAGTGCACGGGGTTCTGGTGTCCGCACTGGTAGTAACACTGGCTATTTTCAGGGTCAGAATGGAACTGACCATCGTATGAACAGGTGATCGGTCCTTGAATGAGATTATATTATATTATATTATATTATATTATATTATATTATATTATATTATATTATATTATATTATATTATATTATATTATATTATAAACAGGTAGAAGAGTCAGGAGAGCACATAGTGTTGGGGACAGGGGAGCTGTATCTGGACTGTGTGATGCATGATCTCAGAAAGCTGTATTCAGAAATAGGTCAGTCATGGCTGTGTATAGCACTGCCACAATGTTTGCCTTTTATTATTATTATTATTAAATTTTATTTGATGTTTTTTATATGGTTGCCTCATTGCTTTGCTTTTGTCGGTCATTTTGAATGGCAAAGGTTACGTTTATTTTATTTAAATTCAAACATTTGTAATTGTAATTTTTTTCTCTGACCAGATTGTGTTGTTTTGTTAAAATCAGACATTTTATAGCTATTATCTGCCAGAGATGAAAAGGAACAGTTTATCTGTCTATGTTTTGTTTATTTGCAGACATTAAGGTAGCTGACCCAGTAGTAACTTTTTGTGAGACAGTGGTGGAGACTTCCTCCCTCAAATGTTTTGCTGAAACACCCAATAAAAAGTTGGTATTTTCTAGACGCTCTCAGACATAGCTTCTTCTGAAGACAATATAATTAGTTGATAGTCAGAATCAATGCAAAAACAAATCTGTTTACTTATCCATTTATTTATTGATAATCATTATTATTATTATTCAAAAAATAATATATTATTAGTTTTTTAAAAAATTAACATTTTAATCATTTTTATGTACAGACACAGATGTGTCTGTACATATAGCCATCATCTGCGTCTGTCGTCGCCGTCGTCGCCGTGCACTTTTACCGATAACACGATAAGTGGAAAACCATTTTACCTTTTGACTTGAAACTTGCAGAACTGATGAATATTCATAATACGCAGGTCAA